GCCATCTGGCCCATGCTGTTGGCGCATCCTAGCACCGTCAAGGTGAAAGCCCTCCGGTGCGTCGCCGTCCACTCCACCACTGAGGGCGACGCAGAGACACACGTGTGAGGCCACGCGCGGTGCCCGGGGACCCATCCTATCCACCCTGTGGCGGGACCAGGCGGGCCAGGGACTCACTCAGGACCATCGAGGTCATAAGGACGCCCGTCAGCGCAAAGGCGTTCAGGAACCGCAGCACGCAGTAGACCGGGAAGGACGGGGCGAAGATGGCGCTGGTGCCCGTGGCAGCTATCTGCAGATAGCACCAGTTCAGTATGGGCTTCCTCCCGAACCTGCGGCCGGAGACAAGCACATGGGGCCTGGAGGGGCCCTGAGAACCGCGGGGGGGTGGGCGACGGCCTCCCAGGGCTTCCCCCAAAGCCAGTGCGGGCGACTCGCAGATTCTAGGGGTGCGTCCAGAGTGCTTTTGTTATATCGGGGGTCAGGACAGCCTCGAGGTCAAGAACTCAGGATTTAGATCAGGAATGGTGGCTCATGCCTGTCATCCCAGCACTTTGAGAGGCCGAGGTAGGAGGATCACTTGAGCCCAGGAGTTCAAGACCAGTTTGGGCCACATGGTGAGACCTTTTTATACAGACGGCTTTGTTAAAAAAAAAAAATCCAAAAATTAACTGGGTGTGGAGGCATACGCCCCCCGAGGTGGGAGGATCGCCTGAGCCCAGGAGTGGAGGCTGGGGTGAACCGTGATCGTGCCCCTGCACTCCAGCCTGGGTGACAGAGGGAGACCCTGGCTCAAAAAAAAAAAACCTCAGGCTTTGGGATCCCTTGCCCGGGTCCGAGTTCGGCCCTGCCCTTCCTGGGTGACCCTGGGCGTGGGAGCCTCAGTTTCCCCATCTGTAACACAGGGGTATTCATAAAGTGCATAGAGCTGGTGTGGAAATCAAGACTCTGAGCGAGGGAGGGCAGGGTGGAGGCCAAGACCTCGGGCAAGCTGAGCTGCCCTTGTCTGTGCACCACAGGCGCAGCCAAGCCCTTGTCCCGTGCCACGTCTGTGTGGCCTCCGGGCCGGCGGGGTCCGAACCACGGGCTGCATTTAGGGCAACTCAAGAGAGTAGACACTTGGGGCAGCCTCGCCCATCTGAGCAGTGCCCGGGACAGGACACCCGTTTCATCCTCAAACACCTGCACGGGCCATGCCAGAGTCCCCACGGATGGGAGAAACTGAGGCACGGGGAAGGGAAGAGACCCGCCTCCTAGGATGAGGCTGGGATTTGGACCCAGGGCCTGCGCTGGTGGCTGTCGTGTGGTGGCCTGTGCTGAGCCGGGCACTGGGCACAGTTCCCAACTCCCCATGGGCCTGGGGGGACACAGGGAATCCCCGAATGAGCCCAGCGCTGTGAGAGAGAGACCCTGGGAGAAGGAGCCCTCCTACGACCTCAGGTGGGGTCTGGCCCCGTCCCTGCCCCTGTGGCCCCTGTATTTCTATTTCTTTTTCTTTCTGAGTCCGAGTCTCACTCTGTCACCCAGGCTGGAGTGCCGTGGCACGCTCATGGCCACCGCAGCCTCAACCTGCTGGGCTCTGGCGATCCTTCCGCCTCAGCCATCTAAGGAGCTGGAACTACAGGCATGCGCCACCATGCCCGGCTAATTTTTGATTGATTGTAGAGACGAGGTCTGGCCAAGGTGCCCGAGTGGGTCTCGAACCTGTGGGCTCAGGCAATCCACTCGCCTCGGTCTCCCAAAGTGCTGGGATGACAGGCTGAGCCACCGAGCCCAGCTTGTATTTCTATTTCATGGCATGTTGTGTACCTGGAGTTAAAAGAGAGAGGGTCTGTCCCCCCCAGGGGACAGTCAGCACCCCGAGGGCAGGGGCTGCATAGCACCTGGTATACAGTAAGTGCTCAATAAGTGTGGCACGCTAGTGGACGACCGGCTTCTCCTCACCCAGGCTAACTTGGCATGAGGTTCAGAGTCAGGCTCCAGGGGTTGCCGCCCTCTGGAGCCTGGTGGGTGGCAGTCAGATTAGGGGGCCCCCGCTAAGGGGATGCTGATGTCTGCCTGACATTTCCGCATGTGCGACTCTGCTTTGGGGGCACCGGAAGTGGCCACTCACCGGCAGGAGAGGAGGCCCCAGAAGGAGGAGCCCACCAGGTTGCCAAACATGAAGAGAGACTGAGCCAGGGGCTTCAGGCTCTGGGAACTGCATACCAGGTCCCACTGCAAGAGAAGGAGGGGTCCCCGTCCACTTAGGGTGGGCGAGGCTGTGGGTGGGGCCCGGCCACCCACCACGGGGTCCCCAGCTCCTCCTGCCAAGCCACTGAGGCCCCTGCAGCGGGCCCCTGCTCTCTACCCGGAGCCTGGCTCGGGCTGGGACAACGGAGGGGCAGAAATGGGAGGAAAATGACAAAGTTCTTGGTAGCAAGAAGTTTGGCCAGCAGTGGCTGGCGGCGACAGGTGGTGGCGGGGAGTGGTGGGCAGCCCTGGGCATTGGTGGAAAGTGTCCAGCAGTGGTGGGCGTTAGCGGGCAGTGGTGGGCAGTGTCCGGCCATGATGGGGGTCGTGGAGAGCAAGCACCTGGCAGTGGCGAATAGGCCGGGGCTGCCCTCCCTGCTGTGTGCTGGCCAGGTGGACTTGGGTGGTCGCTGTTCCCGCTGGGCTATCCCCTCTGGAGCTGGGGCCATGAGCTGACCCTCCCGCCGGCCAGGGGGCGACCTGGGAGGGTCTGGCACGTGCGCCAGGGCATTTGCGGTGGCCACAGCCCGGGGGGGGACACCCCAGTCCTCCCCCAAGCCCATCCATCATGAGGCCTGACAGCTCCACCCACCTTTCAGTCTCTGCCTCTCCCACCAGGGCCTGCGGGACCCCCTTGGCCCTCCAGGCCCTCTCCAGCCTGCAGTGTGACCACTTGAAAACGCTTGGTGGACCAGGCTTGGTGGCTCACTCTGTCATCCCAGCACTTTGGGAGGCCGAGGTGAGTGGGTTGCCTAGGCCCGTGGGTTCGAGACCAGCCCGGGCAACTTGGCGAGCCCTCATCTCTATAATAAATCAAAAATTAGCCAGGCGTGGTGGTGCAGGACTGTAGTTCCAGCTCCTTGGAAGGCTGAGGCGGAAGGATTGCTGGAGTCCAGCAGGTCAAGGCTGCGGTGGCCGGGAGGT